CACTAGCCGAGTCGATCTAGCCATGTCCGTCTGTCCGTCTGTCCGTCTGTCCGTCTGTCTGTCTGTATGAACGCTGAGATCTCGGAAACTACAAAAGCTAGAAGGTTGAGATTTTCCACGCATATTCTTGGGCTTCCTACGCAGCGCAAGTTTATTTTAGCCGAGTGCCACGCCCCCTCTAACGCCCACAATCGCCCGCTAACGATTTTAAAATGTGTCTGGCGCCAACACCTTTTAAGATTTCCGAGAAGTATAAATGCAATTTTGTTGTGCATATTTATACCTATCGAACCTATTTTTCAAATCGGACCATTCATTAAAAAGTTATACGCAATCAAAATTTCTATATCTATCTCCCTCGCACTCCCTTTAGCTGAGTTACGATTATTAGTCGGGACACCAACCCGACTAGTGAGTGACGGGTATTAGATAGTCGGGACACGAACCCGACTATAGCGTTCTCTCTTGTTTCTTATAATAAATTTAAGGAAAATATTTTTATCAACCAATCATTGAATTGTTTAATTTTCAAACTAAAGTTTAAGTTCATACTAATAATCTATCCTCAAAGTTATATTTAAGCTAGAATTTAACTAAATTCAGATCAGTGTTTTCAAATTTCTTGAAGTGACCTACTCTTTTTACTAGTTTCGAAAAACAGTAAAGTGATCTTATCAACGTGTGTACCTCAATTGAAAGTGGCTTTGTGAGAACAATTAAATTACAATTACAAATTAGCTACATTACAAGTGACTTTGTGAAAAGCAAATAAAAATTTAAAGCAATCTACAAATTAACTACATTACAAGTGACTTTGTGAAAAGAAAATAAAAATTTAAAACAATCTACAAATTAATTACAATTGTAATTCTTTCCAAAATAAAAAATTAAAATGAATAACCAAACCCAAAAATATTGTGAGTCATGCCGTCGTTTCATCCCGGTGGGAGTTCAATGGAATCACCATGAACGAACCGCGAACCACAAGATGAATGCTATGGTACCTTTGGATGGAAGAATCAAAAAGATTTCGGATGGATTCAAGGGTCGAATCCTTCATTATATGTTTGTTAATGAAGGAGAGGAATTAAGATACCCGGAAGAGTTCCTCTTCGAAGCAGGAGAGGCTTTAAAATCGCATTTATTTAATGTGCTTCAAAGCTACATGTCCGGTAAAGTTAATTTTGAGCTTTTTGATAAAAATGGAAGAGTTTCAGGAAAGGGATAGCGGGTGGACCCTACTCCGCATAATTCGATTGGAAATGAATTTCAATCAATTTAAACCGCTTTCTGGTTCTTCATTTATCCCAACACCATCCAAGCTTTTTTCGAAAAAAGCAATAATTAATGTCCAAAATAAGAATGACTCATACTGTTTTAAATGGACTTTGATTTCGGCACTTACAAAGGTAGCAAGTAACCCTAGTATGTGCTACACATATAAAGTTGATATAAGGGCCGAAAGATTTGTTTTAACATCTGGAATAAATTTGGACTTCAGTGGGTTAACATTCCCGCTTAAAATAAAGGACATAGACGTCTTCATTCAAAAAAACGTTACATTGAGTATTAACGTTTTTGGATATGATGAGGAAAGTGAAACTATAATTGGACCTTTTTATCAACCTGGAGTTGAAAAGCCGACGCACATAAATATTCTTTTCCTGGAAGGAAACGGGTTCGGTCACTACACATGGATAAAAAATATTTCAAAGTATGAATTTTACTCGTTATAGACCCACTTTTACTTATTATGTTACATTACTTGTTTTATTTTTCTTTTGTTTAACAGACTAATGACTTCACAAAGAGGATCACATAATGGACGGGAATGGTTTTGCAATACCTGCTTAAATTTTTCATCAACTGCAAGTCACGCACTTCGCCACAAGGAGCTTTGCAGTGGAAAGGTTGTCACTCTCCCAAACCCATATAAATCGACATTGAAGTATTCGGCACTGCGTCATCAACTAAAAGTTCCGTTCGCAGTGTATGCAGATTTCGAGTGTATACTTCGACGTAAAAATAATGATGTAAGTCCTAAACTGTTTAATGTAAATGAACATGTACCAATTTCATATGCTTTCTTTATAAAGTGTGCATATGATTCTAGCTTAGATAAATTTGTAATGGAAACGGGAGGTAATTCAGCCATAAATTTTGTTAATTCCCTTGTAAATAACTTAAAAACTATTCATACAAATTATTTGAGTAAAATTGTTCCCATAGTAATGAATCCAGAGGACGAATATGATTTTGAGTTTACCCTCAATTGTCATATTTGTGAGAAGGCTTTAGCGGATGATAGGGTTCGAGATCATTGTCATTATACAGGTAGATACAGGGGTGCAGCTCATTCGAAATGTAATTTAGAATTGAAAACGTCTAATTTTATCCCAGTTTTCTTCCACAATTTCTCCAAGTATGATTGTCACTTGTTTATCAAAGAACTGGCACTTATACCTGGAGAAATTAAAGTTATACCCATAAACAAGGAGCACTTCATTTCAGTAATGAAAAAAATTGAAAATGAATGTGGAAACAGTTTTGAGATAAGGTTTCTAGACACATTTAGATTTATGTCATCTAGTCTAGATGCCTTAGCGTCCAATTTAGAAGATGATCAACTTAAATCAGTAAGATCACATTTTAATTGTGAAAACGAATTTAGGCTTATGCGGAAGAAGGGTGTATTCCCATATGAATATCTTGATTCAGAGCATAGACTAGAGGAAACTAGTTTACCATCAAGAGACCAATTTTATAATCAGTTTACTGAAAAGCATTGTTCTCAAGAGGAATATAGTCATGCTGTTAAAGTTTGGACACAATTTTCCTGTAAATCTCTAAAGGACTATCTAGAGATTTATTTAAAAACTGATGTATTATTATTAACTGACGTTTTTGAAAATTTCCGTTTAATTTGCATGAAAATTTATTCTCTTGACCCAGCTCATTTTTATACAACACCAGGTTTATCTTGGCAGGCAATGCTGAAAACCACTCAAATTGAGTTACAGTTAATAACTGATATTGATATGTATAAATATATACAAAGTGGAATTCGGGGTGGTTTGGTACAATGCTGTCACAGATATAGTAAAGCAAATAATAAATATTTAAGTGATTATGATGCTAGTAAAGAGCCATCATTTTTAATGTATTTAGATGCAAATAATTTGTATGGTTGGGCAATGTCTCAACCTTTACCTTACCAAGGGTTTAAGTGGTTGTCTCCCATAGACATAGAAAATTTGGTAGTAGAAAATATTCCAAACGATGGACATTATGGTTATATTTTAGAAGTGGATTTGGACAATCCATACAGTATCCATGATTTACATAGTGATTTACCGTTTTGTTCAACAACAAAGTTAGCCACTAATAGCGAAAAAGTAAAAAAATTAATTGCCGACCTCGGAAATAAAAAAAATTATATCATTCATTATAAAAATTTACAGCAATGTTTGCTTAATGGGTTGCAGCTAATAAAAATTCATAGAGGGATACGTTTTGAGCAAAAACCTTGGCTCAAAACGTATATAGACCTTAACACCCAATATCGTCAAAAAGCTAAAAATTCATTTGAAAAAGATTTTTTTAAATTATTAAATAATGCAGTCTACGGTAAAACCCTAGAAAATATCGAGAATCGCGTTGACATTAAAATAGTTTGTGATTGGGATCCTCCACAGAATAATTATAATAAAAGTGGTCGTAAAAAATTATGTGCACAAGCATTAATTTCCAAATTTAATTTTCAAAGCGCTACAAAACTAGAGAATGATTTCTATACAATTCAAATGAGAAGAATGTCATATGTATACGATAAACCCATGTATCTTGGGTTTACAGTATTACAGTTATCAAAGTGGAACATGTACATGGTAGACCAATGTCAGAGTTTGTTGGTCTCCGTCCTAAGGTTTATTGTTATAAAATTGATTCTATGGACAAATCGTTTATGAAATCTAAGGGAGTAACGAGAACAGCACTAGAGTATCTAGATATTGAAAAATATATAAAGGTTCTTTTCACTGAAAATCGAATGTAGTGCGGCATGTCAGTTTTTAGATCTAAAAATCATACCATAAATACTTACAAAATGACAAAAATAATTCTCGATGGTAATGATACGAAGAGAAAAGTTGAGGGTGATAAAATGTCTACACTCCCTTATCATCATAAGTGTTTAATAGAAAGGGAACACATATAAAATGTTCAAATCCTTGAGGGAGAGTCACTTGTTTTGGGGAGACAGGTAGATGAAATAGAAAGTCTTGAATTCCAGACTGAGCAACAAAAAACTTTACTCAAGTACCTAAAAACAGAAATTGAAAATGTTGAACATGATTTACTTTACAAGTCGCTTGAACTTGAAATGTTTTATAATGAATTGCCCCCCGATCCCAAAAAACAGAAACAATTTTAGATTTAACAATGCAAAATATTTATTTAATTAGTAAGTTTGATAAAAGGTGTTGAACAATAAAAATTAACAAAATATATATAAATCTTAAGCAATATATATATATATAAATGTTAATATTTTGTTAGTATAACATTAAGTTGAACGAATAACAAATACATTTCAATAAATTGAGTATTAAATATAAAATATTTGGGTGTGTTTGTAAATTTTTTTTTGGAAATTTTTTATAAATTGGGTGAGTATATTTTATTTGATTGGTTTTGTACCCGTTGCCTATATAGATAATTCCACAGTTCTAATTCATGTGGGTTCATTTTAGCTTCAGGTTCATAATCCCTGTCTTGAACAGGTTCATCTTCTTCTTCAGCTGATTTTTCTTCCTCGTTTTTTTTCCCTATCTGTTTTAGATAATAACCCAACTCTACTTGTTCAGGAGTAATTTCATTATTTTCATTACTCTCATCGCTATTGCTTAAGTTAATGTTTATATTTTGGTGATAAAGTTGTGTGATGTCATCATCAGTTAAATTAAAACTAGAAATATTATTAGAAATTGAATTTACCGAAACTACGTTAGATCCTAAAAGGTGAACATATTCAACTGAAATGAGAAAAAAAAAAGACGAATTAATGAAATGAAATATTACATACTGAAGTAAATTAAATTGCCTTTTGTTTTGTTTAATATATTATTTCCTTGAGGAATTTTTATATCCTTCTGAAATAAATAAGTAATATGTTATCCCTAATTCATATAAAAGTTGTTGCGGTTCAACAACTCGCTACACTCTAATAGGCATAATTTTCCCCCATCAGAGTCTATACCACTCAAGTCTAGTTCCTCAATTGTTATAACCTCTCTTTTACTTATCTTGGGCGGAGGTGGTAAATCTATTGTTTTTGGTAAAAGTGGATAGTAAAATAATTCTTTATCAATTTCTACACAGTTTATTTGAATCTTATACATATCTAGATGAGAATGTTTTTTTAACCTTTTTGAAACGTAATGACACTGGATTCTTAAAGTGAAAAGGTCCTTATAACCGAGTTTATAATATCTATCGAAACCTCTGTTTCCTGTTACAATAGTTCCGCCCTCTCTATTTTCCCTTTCAAGCAAGTCTGATTTAAACTTCTCTAACAATTCCTTTTTAGGAAAAGAATATTTTTTTATACACTACGCTTCTCTGTTTTTTTTTTTAAATTTTTGACTCTTCACTTACATTATCATTATTACCATCTTCTTCATTTAGTGGCGTAAATGATTGTTTGGAGGGTGACGACAAATCATCGTACTCATCATAGATTTGGAAATTAGCTGGTGGGGGTGTTGATGATGATGATTCTTGTGTTGGTTCTGTTGATGATGATGATGCTTCTGTTGAGGATGATGATGCTTCTGTTGATGATGATGATGCTTCTGTTGTTGTTGTTTCTGTTGTTGTTGTTGTTGTTTCTGAAATTAAATATCATAACAAAAGTTAACAAAAGTCGAAAAAGGAAAAAAAGTAATTTGTGATTGTTATTTATATTGGTATTTACCTTGTGGTGCTTCGTCGTCTTCATCTTTTTTTAGTTTCCTCTCTTCTGTAATATAGCTTGCCATTGTTGTTGCTTCTGAAATTAAATATCATAACAAAGTTAACAAATCAAAAAAAATTGTTATTGTTTATTGTTATTATTGTTTTGATGTTCTTACCTTTGAGGTTTTTAGTTTACTCTCTAACTCATCAATGTTATTTTTATTCGCTAGTGAACTGTTCTTAAATAGATACAATTTCAGCTGAATATTTAAAACATCATTGTTAGGGAGTAAAATTTGAATAATTGTGGTTTCCATTGTCTCGTTCTATGTCGTTAGATGTGAAGTGGGTATTACACCCATTTCCACTACTCCTATTACAGAAACTATTATCAAAAATAGTTTTATTATTTTATTATTTTTCATTTTCACACACACACACACAATTATTAATAAAGTTTGAGTTTTTCACTTTTACTTTCACTTTTATATGAGCAATTTGAGCTCCAATTTTCACCGACTTGTCTTGCTTGCGATCGCTACTGAAAAAATCATAAGCGCCCCAGTGGTATTTATTTAGAATTTTCAGTATATAACTCTTATGTAAACGAATACAGGGATGGGGCAATCATTCATAAATATGCTGGCGAACCAGTCCAACAAACAGAAACAATATATACAAACCTTGAGTAAACATTCTTATAGCCCTCCACACGCCCTCCACAGAAAGCAGAACATTCTTATCGCCCTCCACAGAAAGCAGAACATTCTATCAGACTTTGCGTGTGCGTATGTGGAAACTATTTTTGACTTTGTATACGTAGGGTGCGGCCTTTCGATGCGGGCGATTGTGTCTGGAAACTATTTTTGATGATGTGTACGTACATGAGCATGCGAGTCTGAACATAATTATAGAAACCACTTGTATTGTATGATCTTCGAAGTCTTTGCGTGTGCGTATGTGGAAACTATTTTGACTTTGTATACGTAGGGTGGTGGGGGATTTTGGCTGGAGACTATTTTTGAACTTGTACATAAGCTGTTACATGAGCATGCCGGTCTGAACATATTTATTTTTCTGTTGCTGAGTTGATTAGTATATGGAGTATATATTCTTTTATTTTCATTGCGAATAAGAGTTGCTCTATAAAATATTATCTTTAGATTCCCAGCTATCATATTTTTTTGAAAACCCCAACCAACGTACACGGACTTTATTCCCGTCTCTCTTTATTATTTTTTTTCAGTTCTTCTTTGTAAAATCCACCTTGTATTGGAGTACCTTCAAAGTCTTCCAACAAGTATTTTTTTTTTTTTTTTTTTTTTTTTTGAAAGAAACTTAAATATATACATAAAGGTAAGAGGAAAGGAGGGTGCCGCTCCCGCGGAACTGCCGCAAAGCTTTACTTCGCGGGGCGGTAGGCGGTCAGGGTTCCGCTCCTCATCTGGATCCGGAGCGTCGTTGTTCTCGACGCCTCAGGTCCCTAATAATGACTGCTGCCATATGGGCAACAGCGTCCCATTTGGTTGCGCTGTCCAGCACGCACTCAATAGCATTGTCCGCCGTTATCGGACAATTCGTAGCCGCTTCCGCAACTACTCGATCTCTTTCATAGAGGGAGCATACAAAGAGAGCATGCTCCGCGTCCTCGCTGGTGGTGTTGCCGCAAACGTCGCAATATGGGTCTCGTTCGTGCTTAAACCGCCACAGGTACTCCTTGAAGCAACCGTGCCCCGTTATCATCTGTGCCGTGTAGAAATCCACCTGCCCATACCTCCTGTTTAGCCAGGGAGCTATATTAGGGATCAGCTTGTGCGTCCATCGTCCGGTTCTTGCGGTGTCCCATCTCTCCTGCCAAAGTTCGAATCCTGTCACCCGAGACTCCAGTCCTTCGTTCTGCCGCTAGAAGGTCTATCGGAAGTGTTCCCGCTACCACTAGGACGGCTTCCTCGGACACTGGGCAGAAGCAGCTTGGGATCCGCAGTGCGCATCGTCGATAGACTGCCTTGCATTGCCTGATATATGTTTGGCACTTCGCTGCATCGGCCCAGATAGGCGCGGCGTACAATATCGTCGAGGTTACCACTGTGGCTATAAGGCGCCGGCTGTGCTGCTTTGGTCCTCTCGTGTTGGCCATCATCCTTGAGATGGCTGATGTCGCCCTGGATGCTTTAGCTGCTATATATTCCAAGTGATGCTTGTATGTCAGCCTGTGGTCGATCATGACCCCGAGGTACTTGATCGCTGGGATGGACTCGATTGTTGCTGCGCCGGCTCGGAACCGTACCTTCTCGACGACTTTTCTGCTGCTTATGAGCACCGCCTCGGTCTTATGCTCCGCTAGTGTAAGCCCGTTGCTAGCTGGCCACCTCATCAGCATATCGATTGACCGGCTGCAAACGTCCGCTAGGTCGTCCAGCTTCTTGGCCACCGTGATCAACGCTATGTCGTCAGCAAATCCCACTACCGTGCAGCCATCTGGTAACGTCAGCCTGAGGATCCCGTCATACATGACGTTCCATAGGATGGGTCCCAGTACCGAGCCTTGGGGTACGCCTCCGGTCACCTGGTGTTCGTGTACTCCAGCATCGGAGCTGTAACTTAGTACGCGATCCCGGAAATAGTCGGCTATCACCTGGGTCAGGTAGTCCGAAAGCGCGCGGAGCACAAGTTCCCAGTTGGCCGAATTAAAGGCGTTTTTTACGTCCAGGGTGCAGATCAGGCAGTACTTTTTTGTGCCACCCCGCCACCTTTCTCCTTCAATGGCGTTCGCAGCCAGTTGAGTCACCTCTCGAATAGCGTCGACAGTACTACGCTTCTTCCGGAAGCCGTGCTGGTGGTCGGACAGAGCGTTGCGTTCTTCGAGCTCCTTCTCCAGTTTGTTGCATATGATGCGTTCGAAGATTTTTCCTATTGTATTAAGCATACATAGGGGTCTGTATGAAAATGGGTCCTCGTTCTGCTTCCCCGGTTTCGGGATAAGCACGAGTCTTTGCCGCTTCCAGCTCGTGGGGAAAACGCGTTCGCAGAGGCACTTATTGTACATCTGTACGAAGAGATTCGTGTGGGATGCGACAATGGCATGCAGTGCGGCGTTGGGGATTCCATCTGGACCAGGGGCTTTGTTTTTCTTTATGGTGGCCAGGGCGCCCAGGACTTCCGCTTCGCTAGTTAGCACCGTTCTTCCTGTGTACACGTGAGGTGGTACGAGTGGAGTCTGAGCGGGAAACAGGGTAGACACGATTGTGGCTAGCTGTGCCGGACAAGTTGGGGTCGGCCTCCTATTTAGCTTTCCCATGACCATCCTGTAAGCAGATCCAAAAGGTTCAGAGACTGCCGCATCGCACAGTTCCTGGAAGCACCTGGCTTTGCTAGCTTTTATGGTATCCTTCAGTACCTTCTTCATCGCTCTATAGTGTATTTCGCTTGCTTCCTGTGTAGTATGTGGTAGGGTATGTGTTTTTCACACTTATTATTTTAAAAATTTCTGTAGTCCAATTCGGTGTATACCCCTTTTCAAACACATGTTTATATTAACTGATGCGTACATAATCTCCATTACGCAATTTCCCCACACTAAACATTTTGGGATGATTGTAGGCTGTTTTCAAAATGTGTTTTTCATTGGAAGAATTGACGTCAATTGGGGCGACCTTAATTGTTCTATGTGGTCTTTTGTTGTATATATCAATTAATTTTTATACATATCAACCCACTTGTATGTTCCGCTAAAACTAAATTCACGCCACATAAGTTCCTTCAAACTTCTGTTGAAGCGTTCCACAATTGAAGCTTTTACAATTGAATAGGTAGAATAATGGTTTATTCCATATTGTTTCATTAACGCGTTAAATTGTTTGTTAAAAAATTCAGTTCCATCATCCGTTTGTAAATTTTTTGGTGTTCCACGTCCAGATTTGAAAATTTTTTTCATTGCCATTGAGACATCTTTAGCGCTTTTTGATTTTAATGCTTCTCCCCAGGCATATTTGCTAAAACAATCCACAACAGTCAAAATATAAAAAAATCCTCCGTTAAGCTTTGAATACTTTCCCATTTCCACTGTTGGGGCGGGGGTGGCTTGATTGTAGGAGCGATGATGAGTCCCGGGGAAATGGATCCGCGCAGAAATAAGTTTCGAAAACACGGGAGAACTTTTCGGGGTATTGCGCGACGTACGGCTGTTTATTATTACACTTGTAAAATTGGAACTCCTTACAATAATCTAAGCTTAGTGGCTCCAGAGTGGAGCGGAGACTTGGGGGAGAGTTGGAGAGGGAGAGCGAAGGGCAGTGCGAGCGAGCGAGATGTGGAGATCTGGAGAAAACTGCCGCTCAACACTGCCTGCCGAAATTAAACGCCCTTTTGGCGTGAACATTCTCCCCCCCCTTGCGAGGACCACCGTAGCAAGACCCTCAGTAGAGTAGACTCAGGAACATGATTGAAGCGATGATCGGTCTTCCCTATGTAGTAGAGTGTGGTGGCCCTTTCCACACTTGTGGCAGTGGTCATCACTGCGGCAGGAGTCCTCGGAATGATCGTGGGCCAAGCAATTGGAACAGTACTTGTGGATACGTACTTCCTGGAGCCGTTTCTCGGCACTAAGCCGCAGAAAGCGGTGGCATTTCCGTAGCGGATGGATCTTTTGGCAGACTCGGCATTGGTAGGATTTAATACCTCGGGAACGTCTGCCATCCAAGGCGGGATATGGAACCCAATAGTCGGAATTCTTTGTAGGAAGGACCCTTATAATCGGGTCCGGATCGGAAATTCTATTAGTCCCACACGCGTTGGAAACACGCGCTGAGAAGGACGAAATTCTGTATGGGATTGAGGCCGATACTGGCTCTGGAGGTCTGGATGCAATCGAAGTCATTGTAGAATTGTTGCTTGGATGCAACAGCGTATGATGTCGACTTTGGCAAGTGAAACAAGTGTTAGGGCTTGTGCAATCCTGCAATTTATGGCTGCTTGCAAAGCAGTTGGAGCATAGCTGTTTATCTTGGATGTAGGCTAAACGATCATTTAACTGCATTTGGAGAAAGCGTGGACATATACGAATGGGGTGTTTTTCCTTTAAACACAGATCGCAGCCTTTGGGTATTGGAAGTACCCTCGTGGAAAATGAATTTATTTTTGGAAGTTCTGCCAATGCATTTGTGGCTTTGGACTGGACTTTAAGTAAATTAGCAGGCCGGATGCTATCGACGGCCTCTAGAGTTCGATGGCGGTTAGTTAAGAAGGAATTCATCTCGAGCCAAGTGGGAATTTCGGCTTTATTTTGGATGGATTGCTCCCATAATGAGAGCGTGAGCTTTGGAAGCTTCGTGGAGCACATGTAAACGAGGATAGGGTCCCAATTCTCAATGTTAATGCCGGAAATTTGTAAGGACGTTAAGCAACCTTGAATGGTGTGTTGAAGTTCCTTTAAGGCTGCTCCAGACTCTTGTGCTATGGATTGCACATTGAAAAAGGATTTAAGGTGGCTGTTAACCTGCAATCGCTTATTTTCGAAACGCTCAGTGAGATTTGTCCAAGCTGAGCGAAAGCCTTCATTGGTGAGTGGGGATCTGGAAACTATGGAATGAGCTTCGCCACTAGTTTTTGAATTTAAATGAAATAACTTTTCAACGGAAGTGAGACTAGGATTGTCTATATAGATCGCCTTGAAAAGGTCCCGGAAAGTCGGCCAGCGAAGATAATCGCCCGAGAAAACCTCTGTGTCGATAGGAGGGAGTCGACAGCCATAAGATCTTGAACTTTGGGACGGAGTTACTGGAGCTTGAGATACTTGGGTGGAGCCCTGTTGGATTTCGATTTGCTCGAGAATCTGAGCGGCGAACTTTTCGTATACATCGTACGTTTCGTTGTATTTCGCTTTAAGAATGGATTTGGCGTCTGCGGCGCTCTCGCCTGCAGCCACAATGCATTCGGAGCATGTGTCGTATGCCTCCTTTACCTTTTGCCATAAGGAGCTGACGTGCTCCCTACGGATTTTGCAGGCGGATAAGGTTGGTGTGGATGCACCGGGAACATTTAATGTGGCTTCAAGATGACTGAGAGTGTCAGCTGTAGCAATAAATTTGTTTAAAGCTGCGGTTGCCATTACGAATAAAAAGTAAAATTTAAATTGATCACACAAAAAACTATTTTTAAAAAAAATTAATAATTTTTCAGGTGCGAATTGGAGTTTTAGGAACCAATCGATAGTCGCAAGGATATACGGCCACTTTAGAATTTGTCGTGGAATTTTTGAATGATTTGGACTAAGATAAAAAATAAATATTAATTAAATAAATAATTAAAGTTTTCACGAAAGTACGGTCACACTGTACGGATGGAATCGGATAGAATATTTATGTACTAGTTTTAGTAGAAGTTATTTCGTAATTAATATGGTTGTTTTTCTCAAGTATGTTTTGAACGAATAATATTCGTTATTTTTTTGGGTACCCTGGAACCACGGTGCGTTTTGGAATATGTAAGAGTTCGTACGTATGTAACGAACCAGATGGATAGCGGATTGCGGGAATTGTGGAGACTTCGAGTACGTATGTCTGCAGAGAACAGCTGGATAGAGAAAGGGCACCGATTGCGGGAGTTTTTGCGACTTATGTATATATGTATGTATATTTTTATCTGCTGCACAAAGTAATTGCCGGTGTAAATTATTAGAAATTTAAGCTTTGTATTTGGACTTGGAAATAATTTGGGATTGATCGTAGAAAAAAACTATGTTGATGTGGACCGTATTCGAAATTGTATTTGAAGTGGACTGTATTTGAATAGTAGTCGGAGTGGACTGTATTTTGAAATATTTACATATGTAAAAATATATGCACGCAGCAGGAAACACAGTACAAAAAAACGAAAGCTGCCAATTTCGGCGGATCACTTTGAATTTAAAATGTTCACTGTGGCGGGATTATATATTTTTACACACACTTGGAAAATAAATAGAATTCACAGAACACGAATATATTTGTTTTTTAAATAAAATATAAAAATGGTTGTGTGGAACTGGAACTGTTAATTATTTGCTTTGTATGTGCACAATATTGGAAAAAACTTTGGCACTAAGGATTTGGAAATGTGTGAACGGCAATGTAATAATTTCGAGTGTACGAAATTTCGGGAACGGAAAAAATGGAAAAATTGCTGCTCACAAACAAAAGGAATTGGAGTATATATTGGAATATATATATATTAAATGCCGTTGCGTCGGATTAAATCTCTTTTGGATTTAGACAAGAAATCATACAACAAGTTGAACGAAATGGGGTTCGAGCAACTGGCTGTATGACCGGCAAATAATAGTAAGAAGTGGAACTTATCTGGAGCGGTTTAAGCCACCGTAGCTACTGGTGAACGCTGGTACTTGTGGATCTTCTGGAAATATCCGGTCGATGGATCAAATGTTGGGGCGGGGGTGGCTTGATTGTAGGAGCGATGATGAGTCCCAGGGAAATGGATCCGCGCAGAAATAAGTTTCGAAAACACGGGAGAACTTTTCGGGGTATTGCGCGACGTGCGGCTGTTTATTATTACACTTGTAAAATTGGAACTCCTTACAATAATCTAAGCTTAGTGGCTCCAGAGTGGAGCGGAGACTTGGGGGAGAGTTGGAGAAGGAGAGCGAAGGGCAGTGCGAGCGAGCGAGATGTGGAGATCTGGAGAAAACTGCCGCTCAACACTGCCTGCCGAAATTAAACGCCCTTTTGGCGTGAACATCCACTAAATCTGCTTGCCAGAGATCATTTATACCCTTTGTCACTACCCTTTGACGTTTAAAATTACGTCGACACGGAGCATGAATTTCTTTAACAATACCCAATTTATCTCTCATATTTTTTGGTACTAGAACTTTCTTACTATTGGAGTTGCAGTACCTTCTATTTCAACTGTCTGTGATTTTAAAACTGATTTCGGTTGAGTAACATATTTATAAATATAGCTCTCAATACTATTAATCTTTGTCAACATATTGGATAGGATTTTATCAACATTATCAACCCTCCCATTATTAACTTGAAATAAATTTTCCAAAGAAGTTATTTTAGTAAGTCTTCGATTAAGGGATGTATTTATTTTCGTATTAAGGTCTTTCTTTAACGTCTCCAAGTTTTCATCGACATATTTTTTCGTCGTTGCATCCGAATAATCTATTGGGTTCCCACAATTTTTAATTCGTTTCTGTTGGGTATTCAGGTTTTCGTCACCATCAATGTACAACCCCACAACAGTTTTAATATCCCTTTTTAAAATATCTGTGTGCTCTTTTTCGTCTGAAAAGTGCACAAACTTGTCGACAGACATTTTGTTTATAAGGTAATTTAAAGTTTGTGAACCTTATTTATTCAATTAATATATAATTTTAGCCTCTCGCAGTTCTTCTATTATAGACATGATCTCGTTATTATTTATTGACGCTTAAACTCCCACAAAAAAAAAAAATTGGGTTTTGCTCTTTGTAGGGACTTTAACCAAATCCCTTTTTATTTTTTTTTTTTTTTGATTTTTTTGTTTTGATTGAATTGGGGTGGATATAGCTTTTTTTTTTTGGGGTGTAAGTTTTTTTTCGGTTTTGATGGTGTATATTTTGAGTTAAACTTATTGAACCGACATGTTCCGCTGTAGTCTCATTACTTAACTTAGAAAACCAAAAAATCTCATCGTGTCACGCAGCACAGAAGATACTTAAAAATACTAAAAATGGGCGAAGCTGGTATTTCACATGACCAGTCAACAAAAATTCAAATTCAAATTATGGATGCAATCCGTTCATCAACATCCCGGGCCGCCCTGAAACATGGTTTCTGAATTAGGCAGCACAGCTAACTTAGTGATAGGTCGCGTCATCTCTCCAGTAGACGTCTTAAGTTTTACAGCGCGTACCAGTCCATCTGGTCCCTGATGAGCCTCCAATACGCGGGCTAGTATCCAAGATGCTGGAGGGAGATTTGAGTCCTTTACAAGGACTACACTACCTACAGCGATGTTACGTTCCTTGTTGTTCCACTTTTGACGTTGCTGCAGCGATGTTAGATATTCCTGGTGCCAGCGCTTCCAAAAACCCTGGTACATTGATTGTAAATGCTGCCAGTAGTCTAAGCGATTGATCGGCAAATGAGTCAGATCACCCTCTGGAACCGTTGTGAATGGGCGGCCAATTAAAAAATGGGCCGGAGACAAGTAGGTGATGTCAGTGTCAGGTGTGTAGCATAACGGTCTTGAGTTCACCACCGCACTGATCTGAACAATCAGAGTTTGCATCTGTTCGAAGGTTAGAACAGTTTTTCCCACGACGCGTCTCAGATGTAATTTAACTGATCGTACTGATGACTCCCACTTCCCTCCCCAATGTGGCGAATGGGGAGGTATGAAACTCCACTTAATTCCATCATTGGCCAACGATTGAGTTACGGTGTGTTGATGCTCCTGCGAAGAGAGATGTTGCTGCATCTCATCTAGAGCCCGTTTGGCACCAACAAAATTCGTGCCGTTGTCGCTGAAGATTTGCGAACATTTTCCTCGAAGGGACATGAAACGCCGAAGACATGCCAGGAATGTGTCTGTGCTAAGGTCGGTGGCCAGTTCCAAATGAATGGCTGATGTTACAAGGCAGACGAAGAGACATATGTAGCCTTTAGTTTTTCTGGGATTGCGCCCTCTCCTTTCCTTGAGGATGAATGGTCCATCGTAGTCGCAGCCTGAGTGCTGGAAAGGAAGAGCCTCCGTTATACGAATCCCTGGTAGATCGGCAATGAATTAGCGCTCGGTGATGTTTCGTGGCGAAAGCACTTTACGCAGTTGTGTACCAGGTTCCTTATTAGGTTACGCGCACCGAAAACCCAATACTTTTGACGCGTAATTACAAACAGAGCAGACACTCCGGGATGTAGATTTGCTGTATGTTCGTGTTCCAAAATCATCCTTGTAATGCGGTGAGATTTCGGAAGCAATATGGGGTGTTTGACGTCAGCTGGTAACTGCGAGTTGGCCAAGCGTCCTCCAACTCGAAGGAGGCCATCCTTGCAAACAAACGGTGAAAGCTTGATCAACTGGGAGCGGCTGCGAAGTGGTTTGTTTTCCGTCAGAAGATTTCGATCCTCCATGAAGCATTTCTGAGCCTCACGCAGGCAAAGTATGCGAGCAGCCTGAATCTCTTCAAAGGTGAGCCTGGCCCCATTTGTCAGCGCTACAAGTTTAATGGTCCTGGTCCTTTGTATGAAGCGTAATACGTAAGCTACAACGTGGACCAATTTTGTCCAGGACGAGACCCGCTGAGTCAACGCTTCGATCGGTGAAAATGAGTCACCTTGCTGAGTGGTTAATGCGGTGGACTTGACTTCTTCCTTGCCATGGTTATCTGAAAGAGAAGAACAGAACTTTGTGCAGCTCAACTTTACCGCAAGCTTTTCTGGATCTTGCAGCCATGAAGGTCCCATCCACCATAAGTCGAAATGGAGAAGGTCTGCAGCAAGCATCCCTCGTGTGGCGCAGTCTGCCGGATTCTCCTTCGTGTTTACATGATGCCATGCACTACGCGGCAACGCGTCGAGTATTTCTGAAGTCCTGTTTGCTACAAATGTTTTGAGCTTCGATGGTGGATGTGAAAGCCAAGCCAAAACTATGGTTGAATCACACCATGCATGTATTTCGATGTCCTTGTGTTGCAGAGAATCCTTGACAGATAGGATTAGTCTGCTCAGTAGCAAAGCGCCACACAGCTCGAGGCGCGGTAGGGATTGCTGCTTTAGTGGAGCAACTCTGGTTTTTCCTGCTATGAGTGAAACCGACACGGTGCCATCTGCTCGCACCACTCTGCTGTAGATGACTGCGGAATATGCCTTGATGGAGGCATCTGAGAACCCATGCAGTTCGATGTGATCGCCATTGTTTTCGACAAATCGTGGCAGGCGTAGTTCTCGAAGTATGTGTAGGTCGTTACGGCATTTGTTCCACCAGTCAGCAATTTTTGGAGGAAGCTCCGTGTCCCAGCCGAGATCCAGTAACCACAATTCTTGGAACAGAATTTTAAACTGCACCACCACTGGCGACAAAATACCCAGCGGGTCAAAGATCCGTGCCACGTCAGACAGCACTTGGCGCTTGGTGTTGTCCGGATTTGGTGCAAGGCAAACTTTGTAGGATAACGTATCCTCTTCTGGATCCCAATGAATGCCAAGAACCTTTGATGTAGGAGTGGATCCTTTGCCTTGTACCTCGGTTGTAGAAGTAGCTCGATCAGCTATACGTGATGAATTTGAAACCCATTTGCCAAGTTCCATGCCTGCACATTTCATTAATTGGATCAGCTCTTTTTGATTGTGAATTAGCTCCTCCTCTGTAGGTGCTCCCGTCAGTACGTCGTCCACATAAAACTGCTCCTTCAAGATCCTTGCAGCGGTGGGAAACTCGTGTTGGTGGTCGTTAGCTAACTGATCCAGGACTCTTACTGCCAAGAATGGTGCACTAGATGTGCCATATGTCACCGTGGAAAGCTCATAGTGCTTGATAGGTGTACTTTCATCTTCTCTCCAAACAATACGCTGATAGCTACAATGGTTGGCAGCCACCAAGATTTGTCGATACATTTTGACAATATCTGCGGAAAAGACGAACTTGAACATTCTGAAACGCATACAAATCGAGAAGAGGTTTCGGAGAATGCTGGGTCCAATGTGTAGAGCATCGTTTAAGGATTTTCCATTCGTATCCTTGAATGAGCCGTCAAATACTACCCTTAGCTTTTGGGTAATTACTGGATGATGAGGCAAGTAAAAGCTTTTCCCTTTGTCAATGTCTCCTGGCGATAATTCCCGCATGTGTCCTAACTGAAGGTATTCACGCATAAATTGTACATACTGTGAGTGCAGATCGGGGTCCTTCTTTAGGCGGCGTTCTACACCCCTGAATCTTGCCAGTGCTCCTTGTAAAGTATCCGAAAACTGTTCGTTGGAGTTTTTGAACGGAAGTTCGACTATGTAACGCCCCTTGGAGTCCCGAGTGTGCGTTTTCATAAAGTGCTGTTCAACTTCATCGTCCTCTGGTTTCCCATGGAATTCCTGGTTGACATCCTCCAGCTCCCAAAAGCGCCGAAGCGTTGAGTCAATGTCAATAGCCGAGTGCATTGTTGTTGTAGATGAACAGCCGGTAGTAACGATAGATGTTATGACCCATCCAAAAATGGTCGAAATGGCGATGATGTTGCCCTGGATGTCGAACATCTTTTGACCGGTGAACACGGTCCAAACGTAATCGCTGCCCAAAAGAATATCGACTGGCGCCAACGATTGATAATCAGAATCCGCAAGCTCAAAGCCAGCAAATGCCTTGAGTGCTGAGGCCTCGATATCGTGTCTTGCTAACGTGGAGGTAATTTTGCTGAGTACGTGTGCGCGTACCTTCATTGTGTGATCTGAGATCCTTGACTGCATGTCCAGTGTGCTGCAGCCTCTAGTTGTCTCCGCCTTGATCGATGAAATTCCAGACACTACAATGCGTGAGGGCGAGCGTGACAGACCAAGTGCCTGTACGCACCTCTCTGAGATGTACGACAGTTCCGAACCACTGTCCAAAAGTACCCGACATGTAATGTGTGATCCTTTTGCGGTTTTTACAAATACCAGAGCTGTTGGCAATGCACTTTTCCTTAGCCCTTGGGGCTGTGTAGCCGTTGTTGATCCGTTGCACAAGGACTCAGCTGTGGGAGCCGCTTGCGCGCGAGCAATATGGCTGATGGTCACCGTAGCATCTTCGGGAGCGCTTGAGACGTGCCTTTCATCAGTATGTGGCTGTGTCGTGGTCACAGCGGCTTGCGATCCAGGAATATCTGCATGTAGCAGCGAGTGATGGCGATTATGGCAAATCTTGCATGTGAATTTGGATTCACACTTGCGTGATACATGCCCAAGCTTAAGACAGTTGAAACACAAGGATTTTGTCTTTACAAATGTGCGTCTCTGGTCGATCGATGCTTCAGCAAACTTTGGGCAACCGTAGATCTTGTGCTCCTTAGAGTTACATTTCACACAAGCATTATCTTCCATCGATACTAAGGCATGGGACGAACGCTTTGCTTTGCTCAGTTGTGGTGCGCCAACCTTGAAGTCTATGTCTGACTCACTTTTGCTGAGCTCGAATTCCTCGCAGCGTCGGTCTAAGAACTTGAGTAAATCATCCACAGACGGAGATTCAAGTTCCCGGCTTCCCTCAATCCATTTGCGTCGAGTTTCAGCGTCGATTTTGGCCAGAATGAAGTGTATGATCCAGCAGTCCCTGTTAGTTTGCCCTGCTGCATCCAATCCTCGTACAATCTCCGTGGCTCCGTCGGTCACCTTGCGCAGAACTGCAACATCTGCCCTGGATGTCGAAGGGAGATTTACAAACGTTTCCAGTAGAGTGTTGACAATGTGACGTGGTCTGTTGTATCGCTCAGTTAGGCAACTCCAAGCAGCCTCATAAGCAGCATCCGTTATTGGCATATGACGAATCAAGTCCGCTGCTTCCCCAGTAATGTACGTTTTTAAGTAGTGGAACTTTTGTATTGCTGTCAAATGCTGCTTGCTGTGGATCGTACTCTCGAAGATGTTTTTAAAGGCTGGCCACTCTTTGTAGTCACCAGAAAACACCTTGATGTGGATTTTTGGCAGCTCGTTGTGCATTACATTTGCTGCGGAGTTTGCTCTCAAAAATGTTGATTGCTGCTCAGCTAAACGCTCATTCAGCTCCTGCTGTTGTTGTAGAAAACGAGCAAGGCTTTCGTTTCCCAATCCTGATGAACTTGATGCGGCATCGTCAAGGTTGCCAGATTGCCTACCGTTGCTGCCTTCTCTGTCGCTCTCATTGGATGACTGACAGCGCCGTTTAATGGTGTGAAACAAGGTGTTTGCTTGCATGTACTTATCCTCGTACCTCTCGTTGTCGATGGCTGGATCGATGTACCCCTCTTCTCCATCATAAAGGGCCATTTGATCGCTAATGGTCTCAAACTCCTTCCAAACGTTGTTGAGCCTTTCCAATGAGACTGTGATTTCATCCAATTCCCAGTTTGATCCCGCACGTGGATCTTGTGACGCCGTTAGCAAACGCGTAATGCTTGCCTTCGCACGACTTCTTGCTGCCTTTAGAAGCTTAAACTGATCCATGTTAATCAATAGCTAAATTTGGCTAGAAGGTCCAAAGATATGGTGATGAATAAACACGGTTTATTTCTGATTTGAATGGACTGTATATTTTGAGTTAAACTTTATTGAATCGACATGTTCCGCTGTAGTCTCATTACTTAACTTAGAAAACCAAAAAATCTCATCGTGTCACGCAGCACAGAAGATACTTAAAAATACTAAAAATGGGCGAAGCTGGTATTTCACATGACCAGTCAACAAAAATTCAAATTCAAATTATGGTTTTTTTTTTTTAAAAAAATTTTTTTTTATTTTTTTTTTTTTTTTTTCTTTTTTTCCTTTTTTTTCCTTTTTTGGGGAAAAATTTTTTTTATGTGCACTTGTCTCAGTAATGATATCTTTATAATTTTTCAAGTCTTTTTTTTGTGGGTTACTGAATTGTGTGGGTTTATTATGAACAATCAGAGAATAAAGCCCAGGAGTCAACTCCTTTTTTTTTTTATTTATTTTTTTTTTTTTTTTTTTTTTTTTTTTTCTATTTTTCCCAAATTTTAGGGTTTTGGGGTTGGTGAACTTTTTCTAGGTCCAAAAGGATTGAAATTACAGAACTTTATTTCTCGATAGACTGCTCCAAAAAACTGCTAATATTAAAAATATTAAAATCATAGTCTGCATGAATTAGACTGCTAGCATCTGCTTCTTTTTCTAGCTGTGTTTCTAAAGGTGTTTCTAGCGGTGTTTCCGGTTCTGATCCCAATTCAATATGTGACTGTGAAAAAAATGTATCATCTGAGTCACTAGTAACATCATCATTATACATTTTTGTTTCTTCATTTCGGCTATTATTATCATCATAATCGTAATCATGATCATCATCGTCATCATACCTTAATTGATGTTTCTTAAGCTTTTTACTGGGGGTTTCATTTTTAAATATTTCACTTTTTTGCTTTAGAACCGTTGATTTATCTTCGTTTGTATTCATAAACTTTCGTTTTTTATTTTCACTAACTAGTTCGTTTAAGTGATCTGTTATTGGCTTAAAAGTTTCTTCCAACTCGTAAGCATTTTGTGATTTAAAATGTTTTAGATCATTAAACTTTTTCTTTAATATATTTCTCGTTTTAGTAAGCTGACTTAAAATAAATTGACTCATTTTGGGTACTTTCAAAACTTTTACCACCGTCAGCACAAAAGATGTAATACCAGTTTATGAACTATACTTTACAGGGTTACATTTCATACTAATGAAAGTTATAAAATATATATATTATTTATATGATTTTATTTTTGGCTGAAAAAGAATCATTTTACTGTTGATGCAGTTGTTTACATTTCCTCTTCAAATAAAAGAATTTAATGTGGGTGTGTGTGTGTGTGTGCATGTTTTATTGAATATATTGAATAATATTACAAAGTGATAAGTGGATTAAACAATTGTATTTAACTCTAGTTGCAGGGAATCATTGCTTCTTTTTATAACTCGATATTCCTTGTCCTTGAGCAACTTCAGATGACCATCTTTCATAGTGTTATATCTCTTAGGTAGATATAGAATATATTTATCCAGTTCCAAGGCAATGGAGTCCCCATAAACAGTTTTCTTCCTCTGCGCATTGATAATTGGGTAGCTGACGTTTATACCCATCTTGTTTTGTGATAGCAAGGGCTTCAATGCTCGCGTGTTGAACTCCTTTAAAACCCCGCCTCGAAGAATTTCCTCCTCCATAATGGTGTCCAGCTCACTTTCTGATGGAATTGGTTGATTCATCATGTTGTTGTTGGTTTGAAGTTTGTCCTCGAAGAAGGTGGTTTAAATGAGAAGCAAGCTGATCGACTTGACAAGTTAATGTTAAAGTTCTGACTGTAAAGACTAAACGATTTCCGAGCACATTTTATACCAGTTCTCAGACCGAGATTTCCATAGCAACAGGTTGTTGTTTTTCCACCCTTGTTGTTTTCCACCCTTGTTGTTTAAAAGTCGTTAAATCAGTTACTTTATGCAACAGGTTGTTGTTTTTCCACCCTTTTTGTTCTTCCACCCTTGTTGTTTTCCACCCTTGTTGTTGAAAAGTCGTTAAATCAGTTACTTTATTTGAATGAAAGCAGGAATTCAATGCACAGGTGTCCACAATTGTATGTTCCAAAACGTTGTACCTGTTCATAGTTATATTTGATTTTATCCCCTAAGTATTTCACAACTTCTTTTGGTGGTTGTAAATTTCAAAAACTATCAAAATAGAATATGCTGTTTTTGTTTTTGTGGTAAGCTACCCAATGTGTACCCCTTTTCGAGTCACCCAAGTTAATCACTCCACTCTCATTATTTTTAGGTGTTTTAGGGAGAGAGTCTCTCATAAACACTCCCCTAAAATGCGGTATATTTCTTTGAGCCAATTCCATTATATCTATATTTGATAATGCTCTTTTGGGTAGCTGACCAATTAGTTTTTTTGTTTCTTCATATTCCCACCACGACTGTTGTATGGTTTTAGGTATAAGCCGTATCCATTTTTATGGGGTTTTAAGTATAGACCTTCACCCACGGAAACTTCTTCCATCTTTCGGTTGTGTCTTTTATTTTCTTCTAGCTGTTGCTTAGCAATTTTTGCGTTTGTTATTAATTTTGCTACACTAGAAGTTCCTGAAGCTAAGCTACCTATAGCACTTAATGCAGTTAAGATGGGTACCAGTGGTAAAAAACCCCCATTTTGGGAACATTTATTATTCGAGGAACTTTAACGTTTTTCTTAGATCCGATTGAATTATGAATTGCTTTACGTGCAATTTTAATTGCATTAACCACATCCAGGGGTTTTCGTTTTTTCAATTCCCGACTCGCTTCTCTTACAACAGATGATAGTCTATTTATTTTCATCCTCCTACGCTTCCTCTTCTTCTGTTTTTTCTTATTTCGCTTCCGAACACCCACTCCAAAATGTTTCTTTGCTTTCATAATATTAGTTACAAAATATGCTGCTGCTCGCTCCTTAAGAGAACTATCCTTCGCCTTTACTCGCTCCCAAGCCTTGTTAATTAATTCAGAATCTGCCTTATGTCGATTGCTTAGATCGTTGTTTTGTGAATAGGCAATATCGTGAACCTTGCAAGCTTCATCCAACTGATTAATTCCGTGATCTCCACGCTGTAATCGCTCTGCAAGCTTTGTACCGGGTCCACAATAGTTATATCCAGGAATGTGAAACTCAATCGGAAGAGAATCTATTAACTTATTAATAAGACCACTTCCACGTTTACGGTGTAAATAATGACTGATGTGATTATAAAAACGTTTCCCCATTATATATTGTCTTTATTCATTGAAGATTTATCACGGAATAAACATATTTATAATAGGATGCGATTAATAAAGCAAAAAAAACATTATTGTTCGTAACTTTGAGAACGTGAATAATGTTAATCAACCACCACGTCACAGTGAATTATTACCAAACACAATTAGAGCTCTTGTGGTTGGTCCATCCAACTGCGGGAAAACTAATGTAATGATCAGTCTTATTGAGAGTCCAAATGGTTTGAGATTTAAAAATATATAAGTGTTTTCAAAGAGTCTATACCAACCGAAATATGATTACTTGGAAAAGCTATTTAAACCGATTAAAGGTATGGGATATCATACATTCTCTCAGAACAAAACTGTTTTACCACCCACCGAAGCAAAAAATAATTCAATCATGATTTTCGACGATGTGGCTTGTGAGAAACAAGATAATATTCGATCATATTTCTGGATGGGTCGTCACAAAAATATTGATTCTTTTTATTTATGTCAAACATATACACGGATACCAAAACATCTTATACGGGACAATGCAAATGTAATTATTATGTTTAAACAGGATGATTTAAGTATGCGATACATATTTCGGGATCATATCATCCCTGACATGAATTATGAGACATTTACGAAAATTTGTCAAAAATGTTGGGAGGATAAATATTGATTTTTATTTATAAGTAAGGACGACAATATTGATAAGGGACGATATAGAAAAGGATTTGACCAACTTATTCTTCTTTAATTTTAATATAGGATTGAGGCGGGGTTGTATGACACCCAGCTAAACAACAGATTTCAAAATGGTTAGATCATTGACTCTATCAGTGAATGGAAATAGTTCCGTTCTAAACACAGTTTATTTTCCACCAATTGAATTAAACGGGGAATATGAGTGTGCGCTAGTTGAGTTTAACATGTACAACTTAATTCCCAACGTGGATGTGTAAGGGTCCGAGTTATGCTATTATTAAATAGTCTTTCTTGTTGTTTTCTGATTTAAGTTATTTATTTCGCGTCCACACTTCACGCTTGCAAAACGACGAATGACCCTCTCTTCGTTCTCTACCTCCGCTCTCTGCGTTACAGGGTTGCATTTTATCTCGCTCTCCGTATACATACTTAAGTATAACATTTGCGTATACATACACGATTATAACAGTGATCGTTGGGCTTATACATAAACTTAGAGTTATACTTGATGTTATATATATTGTTATACATGTGTTTGTGCCTTTGGAACTATAACAGGCGAGCCTGCTACAATTCGGCCTTCCCGACCACTAAGATCTCCTGATCTTTACGAATTACAATCATGTTCTTACACACTATTTTAACTTATCTTATTTCTATTAATCCAAGGTTTTATGTTTTGGCTACTCCATATGCCCTTATACGGGTTACGTGTCAATTGGAATCCCTCAACATCTTTTATTAAAAATCTATCATATCTCAAAATCTTGTCTATCATATACGGCCCTTTATGTTTTGGGATTAACTTTCTTGATTGTCCTGGCGTGCTGTCAAAATTTTTGACCATTATATAGTCACCTACTTTGTACTCAGCAACTTCTTTCTTTTTACCATTATAATGTTTCTCGTTTTTCATCTGTGCTTCTTTTTGCTTTTGCGCTGCTTTTTCTCGAATTTCACTTAAATCCCTACTCTCCTCTGCATTATTTCCATTTCCTCAAGTTTTTGTTTCAGCTCATCCACAACTTTT